CCCCAGGGCCGAGCTCTGCCCCTAACGCTCTGATTCTCTCTCCCCAGCGAATGTGACTCTGGATCCAGACACGGCTTATCCCCAACTCATCCTGTCTGAGGGTGGGAAAAGTGTGAGATGGGGAGACACATGGCAGCATCTGCCCAACAACCCTGAGAGATTTGACTCTTGGGCCTGTGTGCTGGGCTGTGAGGGATTCACCTCGGGGAGACATTGCTGGGAGGTGGAGGTGGAGGTGGGGGTGGGGCAAAGCTGGGCTGTGGGGGTGGCCAGAGAGTCTGTGGGGAGGAAGGGAGGGATCAGCCTTAGCCCTGAGGGGGGGATCTGGGCTGTGGAGCGGTGCTGGTGGGGTCAGTACCAGGCTCTCACCTCCCCTGAGACCCCCCTGCCCCTGAGCCGGGTCCCCAGAAGGATCCGGGTTTGTCTGGACTGTGACCGGGGGCAGGTGACATTTATCGATGCTGGTGACGAGGCCCCGATCTTCACTTTCCCGCCGGGCTCCGTCCCTGGGGAGAGAATCCGACCCTGGCTCCGGGTGGGGGGCAGATCCCAGCTCAGACTGTGTCCCTGAGACACACAGCAGAGGGGGGAACCGGAAATCAGCCTCTCTAGCCTCATGGACCCCAGACTCTATGACCTTCGGGGACTCCCATCTACCCAGCCCCTGGCGCCTCATCTCTATGACCCCTGGAAGCTCCTCCCCCTCCCTGTCTGCAGTCCCAGGAATGGGAGGGGGGAAGAACCCCTGGGGCTGCAGAGGGGCCCTGAGGGGCAGAGATGGGGGCTGGGCAGGGCGCAGAACTAACAGCTGGGCTGGGGACAGGCAGCTGTGGGGGTGTCCCTGATGGGAACAAGTCGGGGACAGTAAGAGGGGAAGGAATAAAATCGGGAAATGGAGCAGCCATGGGAGATGATCTGTGACAGGGAGAGGAGGAGAGTGGGAGAGACACAGGAAAATAAGCAGGGATCAGAAGTGAGGCTTAGAAAAATGATTAGAAAAGGACAGTATGAAAGGAAAGGGAACATGAGAGGGACAGAGATTTATGAAAAGTTACTGAAAGTGACACTGTAACTCATTAATTCCCTATATTGATTCCTGGATGACTGTACTGTTGTTGTGCCACTAAGAAAACTGTTCTCAGTAGCTGGGGATCTCCTTTTCATGCTGTTGTTATTAAGGCTCCTTCTCAGCTCCCTTTACTTACCACCTTTAGTTACTGACTGTAAATAAAATATTACAAACAATTGTTCATGTTTGTTCCACTTTAATGACCCCGCTGCAGTTGTTGAGGGCAGAGTCCTGGGATTTGCTTCCTGACTTGGTTGTGTCCCCCCAGCACCCACAGGGAATATCGCACCTTGAGGAGGAGAGTTGGGTTTTACTGCTTTGTGTCACTACCCAGCCTGAGCTCTGTCTCGTCCTGTACACACCCATGTCAATCAGGAATTGCTCAGCTGTGCTCTGCGGAGAGGAGACTGGTAACGGTTGCACAGGGTGCAATCCATGACTTGGTGTTGCAATGCTGAGCATCACAGGGCTTAATTTGTAGGCAACTAGAAAATCATAGTCTGCAACTCTGCAAAGCTGAGTTAGGGGCCTAAACTCCCTATATAATGCATGGGCATCACAGGCACCTTACAGTGCAATTCACAAAAGCCAGCTCATTAGGCGGGGATCCATCTAAGCTAGCCAATGGGAGAGGCGACAAGGAGGGAGGGGTGTCCTAAGCCCTGTCCCCTCTCACAGACAGGTGCCTAAATTGGGGCTGCAGAGGGGCATCTATCTCTGCTTAGCAACCCACAGATGGGAACCCAGCATCTGAGGTCAGGTGGCTCAGGTGCCTAAGGCGTTTCTTGCTGGAATGAAGTAGGCACCTGCCTCGCTCCACAGGAAAGGGGAGTGGGGGAGAGAAGCAGGAGGTGGTTTTGGTGCTATCACCTGCCTTATAACATTTAGCCCCATGGTGAGAGCACTCAGCTGGCACATTGGAGACCGATGTTCAGTTCTCCCATCAAGCTGTGTACAGCAGCTCATCAACGTGAGTACCAACCTCAGGGCAAACAGTTATAAACCAGGGCACAAACCTCCCACTGGTTGTGTGTCCTGTATTTAGATTTCACCTATTAGGTATCAAGTGAGAACACTCAAGCACTAGAACAGCCTGAACATGGAGTCACAGACAGTCCCCTTGGGTTCTCCGGTCTATCTCGCTGCTTTTCTGCCTCCTCCCCTGCTGCATCTCCCTGCTGTTGTCTCTGACTGCAAGTTACTTGGCCTGTTATTACAGAAGGGGCCGGGTGGAGCTAGTGGTGAACTGGCTTTGACCGGCCGGGCTGGCTTGCAGCCACTCCGACTGGTTAAACAAGTACAGAGATGAGGAGGGCCTGAGAGTGTTAAGTGTGGGAATAGAAAGCAATAGTGTTTCCTGCCAGAGCCTGCTTGTGGATGAATACGCCCCCTTAGAAAGAAAGGACGATAACAATGGCTATGCAAATTGCTTTAGACAAACAGTCTCACCTGCGGACGTTGGCCTTGTGGGTGCCCAGGAATTCCCCACGCTGGAGCAGCGCCTGCTACGAGCCCTCAAGGAGAAGGCTGGAGGGTCCAGGACTGTCCGTAGCAGAAGGGGTGTAAGCATTGATGCTTGCTTGGTTGCTGGAAAGCACATATGTAGTAACACGTGCAGACTGGGAAGCTTATTATACTTTGGCAATAAAACCGGTTATACTTATACACCTGGTGTGGCTTCATTGAGTGTATCCAAGCCATCCTTTGGTCTGCCACCTGCTCCCTGTGCCGGGGCTGCCACGTTCCCAGCAGTAGAGTCGGAGCAGCTACTCACCACAGGCGTCTATGGTTAAAGCCACCAGTTGCTCTAGCCTAGAGACAGAGCTGGATTAAGGTTATGAGGGACCTACAGCTAATGCGAGGGAAGAGCCTAAGTATGAATTACATATTGCACAAAAATTATGTCATCAAACATTTCTCTACATACATATTTACATATTTATTTATTTATTTAAAATTAACAGATTTATTCTACTCTGACTACACTCAATTCTTCAAACAGACACTTCTGAGTAAGAGGTAGTAAGAGGGATGCACCGTTGCCTTTCTCTTAGGCCTCCTTACTCCTAGGTCAGGGGTTGGCAAACATTTTGGCCTGAGGGCCACATTGGGGTTCCGAAATGGTATGGAGGGCCAGGTGTGGCCAGACCCCCACCCGCTATCCAATCTCCCCTTCTTCCTGCTCTCCCCGGAACCCTGCCTCATCCAACCCCCCCGCTCCCTGTCCCCTGACCACCCCCTCAGGACTCTTGACCCCTATCCAACTCCCTGTTCCCAGCACTCTGACCGCCCCACCCGCTATCCAAACCCCCAACCCCGACCGCGTGACTCCCTGCCCCCTGTCCACGCCCCCCTGCTCCCCATCCCATTACTGAGCTGCCAGTCCAGAGCTAACCATGACGCGCAGCCCGGAGCACCGGGGCAGGCTGGTGGCTCTGAACCACGGCGCCTGGAGGATCTCACAGCCCTGCCACCCAGAGCAGCGTGCTGGCAGCGTGGCGAGCTGAGGCTGCGGGGACGGGGGAAACCTCTGCAACATTCCTCATCCTGCTCACCTCTTTCAACCTCATGATTTTACCCTCAGTTTTCCTCATGTCCCAGTGCAAAGCCCAGCCCTCCTGCAGGTGTTTTCCCCAAGCTATGGACTCTACACCACATACCCTACCTCGCTCCGACTGCAGTCTGGGAGGCAGCCAGCTTTTATTCTGTAGGAAAAAGGTCACAGCTAGAAGTGACAAAGATCTTTAGATGGTTGCCCACTGCCCAGTCATACCATGTTATCTCTTCACAATCACTGTACAAAAATTAAACAAATTGAATCTACAGCCTTTCAGTTTTTGAATGACTAGGAGTTGACAAAACAGCTATTCCCTGTTGTGTTCTCTGCCCCCCAGAACAAAAAGACTTCATTGAAAATCAGCATCTGAAAAGAACCATTAAGGATCTTTCAAAAGAACAGCCCAAGCAAGGCTGCTGTAGTGACACCCATCAGATCTGGTGGTTGTTTCTTAGGGCTGGTGCACACTAACCCCCCACTTCGAACTAAGATACGCAACTTCAGCTACGTTATTCACGTAGCTGAAGTCGAACTATCTTAGTTCGAATTTACCGCGGGTCCACACGTGGCAGGCAGGATCCCTCGTCGACTCCGCGTACTCCTCTTGCGGAGCAGGAGTACCGGCGTCGACGGCGAGCACTTCTGGGATCGATCCCAGAAGATCGATTGCTTACCGCCGGACCCGGAGGTAAGTATAGACGTACCCCTAGGCTGGTGTATAATGAAGGATCAAGCAGACTGCAGACCTTGATTATTTTTTCCCCTTAAAGTGCTCAGCGTTTAGGGAAGGAAAGTGAATGAAATTTTGCTTATACCAGATGTGAAAAAGCAGAAGAGACCAAAATCTATTCTTGTGCAAAAATCTGTTCTCCTGGAAGTCAATAAGGCTACACAGGTGTAATTGTGAGCAGGAATTGGCCTTTGTTCTCATTCCCATGTGGAATCACACTCATTCCATGGTTCCCCAACATTTTCCACTTGGGAAAGAAGGTAGTTTGAGTTGGGGCAGAAAAATGAGGACTAACTCCAGGGTTATTTAGCTTTAAGTTTTTGGAATGAAACTCCAAAGAAATCAAATGCATCTCCTCTCCAACACAAAAGGCCCATAGACATCAGACAAGCCATTATGGGACATCAGTGGACAAAAGACTTTGTTGATTGCTCCCCACACACCCATAAAAAGGAGACATGCACAAGCACTCCTCCCGTCAGCTTGAACTCTCAGGGGAAGCAAGTGAATAAAACTCCTTGTCAAAAAGAAATGATCTCTATACCTGCTTTAACTTTGTAAATAACTCTTGTATTTATTTTCTTAGTTCATAAATCCTCAGAGAGTTTACTATAGGATTGGCTATGAGCGTTGTCTTTGACGAGAGATCTGAGGTACAACTGACCTGGGCTAAGTGACTGGTCCTTTGGAACTGGGTAGTTGGTGTAAGGGACCATCTATCACAAAGGCAGGCTTGCCTGAGTGGCAGGATATATGACAGTCTGTGACTCCATGTTAAGGCTGTTATAGTGCTTGAGGGGTTCACACTTGATACCTAGTGGGTGAAATCTAACCAGCATGGGGTGTGTGCCCTGGTTTGGTACTCACATTCCTGAGCTACTCTAGACAGGGGGATTGAACCTGGGTCTCCCACATGCCAGCTGAGTGCTCTAACCACGGGGGTAAAAGTTGGAAGGAGGGTGACATCACCAACACCTGATATGGAAGTGGAGAAAATTTATTCACCTTCAGAGACACATGCAGAAATTGAAGTAAATGAAGTAGACGGAAGAAAGGATGAGGAAGTTACAAACAAGTTACAATATGGGGACCCAGCTTCATGGCTCAGATGTGATGACAGTGTGCGGCAAATTCTCCTGGAACATGGACCCGAACAAGTTCATGAATTTCCCTTCCCTAAGGATGGAAATAAAAGAAAATTCTCTGCTCAGAATTACAAGA